TTGAAAACTTTTCATTCTCGCTATCTATTCAGGACATAATTGTTATTTTGTGTTTGAAAGAGAGGAAATATTTTTCTGTAGCTCTTACTTCATTTACTTGCAGGTCTGTGCTCCAAAGCAAGGATATTAGGAAATGGAAATAACTGCCACTTGCTCAGATTCTCATTTTCTCCTGCACTCCTTCCCTGCAGCAATAATCTCAGCAAATATAACCTCTGGCGAGTCATTCTGCATGTATCACCTCCAGTTGCYGCTTCAGACTTGCAGACTTTTGAAAGTCAAAACCTTGAATGCAGCTTAATAGTTCTGCCTGCCACCTTGTCAGACATCCAGAGCCAAGCCTGTAGTGTGCCCTACATCACCTGCACAAGCCCACTCATTCCCTTGGACTAGGGTAGAAAGCGTATCACAGAATCACAGAATTGTTAGTGCTGGAAGGGACCTCTGGAGATCATCTGGCCCAACCCCCCTGCCCAGGCAGGGTCACCTGGAGCAGRTGGCATAAGAACATGTCCATGTGGGYTTTTGAATGTCTCCAGAGAGAGAAACTCCACAACCTGGGCAATACCTGGGCAACCTGTTCCACTGCACTGTCATTCTCAATCGTAAAGAAGTTCTTCATGTTGAGGTGAAACTTCTTGTGATTTAGTTTATAGCCATTGCTCCTCGTCCTGTCACTGGGCACCACTGGAAGGGGTCTGGCACCATCCTCCTGACACCTGCCTTTGAGACATTTGTATGCATYAATGAGATCCCCTCTCAGTCTTCTCTTCTCTAGACTAAACAGGCCCAGCTCCAGCAGCCTCTCCTCACAAGAGAGATTAAACACTTCTCTCGAAGTTCAAGCAGCAGCTCTCAGAGCAGGGTCCAGAGTGAGTCTGTTATGCAGCAGCAGTGCTCAGCTCCAGGCCTGTCCCTTGGTCCAGCTTTRCTGGAGCCCAAGGTGTAGACAGAGATGCCCTCTCTGGCCTAGGGCACAGCTGCCCATGGCACCTTGTGGCGTAGTGGAACTCAGGAGGCAAAGGGAACTTGATCATCTCCCTGGGTATCCGCTGGAAGGGGTTCCATGGACCACTGGTGGGGAATATACCGTGAGAAATGCCTCCCTTTTCCCATATCACCTCTTGCCCTCAGTCTCTTCTCCTTTCTGCCACTGGGACAGAAGTTCTCCCTATCCCACTCTGACCTGATAAACACCTTCCTTGTGAAATCCTCGCTGACTTAAGATCTCTGTCAGAAATGTCTTTGCATGCACATTTGTCTCAATGCAGGAGGCACTATCTCCCTCTCAGCAATGGAGAGAGGAAGACGTTTCAGGAGTTAATAAGTCTCAATCACTTCACCAGAAGGAGACACCCCTCTGCAGAGATCTCTTCCTTTCTGCCCCTTCTAAACCTAATTTTCAGGTTTCTGCATAGCCTTTGGGGCTTACTTGGCATGGGGGATAGGATGGTGGGGATGGGAATGTAAAGCCATTTAGASAAATCCCATTTGTCCCCAGGCTCCSTTCTTGAATATACCACAAATGTTTTACTTCAATTCTCAAAAGCCCAATGAGATGCAGGTTATTAATTCATGACTATGACAAGATCATTATGGTTAATTTAACATGTGCAGGCACTTAAGTAACTACTGTTGGGAAATATTTGTCATTAATTCAAAAATTTCCTGCCTGTAATTTGGCAAATATAAATGCAAGTGTGCAGCAGAAATCTGGCATGACATAAAGAGTACTCATCTTCCATCACCTTTACACGTGATTGTACAATGCTTGGGCTCTGCCTGATTTAAATGAGCACAATAAAATGTACTGCAGCATTCATACATTAAATGCCATTGGCATTGAAACACTAGAAAGAGCCCAGAAGTAGGAAGAGAAACAGAGAAGCAGACAATATCCCCATGGGCAGCAAAAGGGACACCATTGAGAGAGAGGGTGGCAGAGTGGTATTCCTAATCAAAACTCAAAAAGTAAATCAGTGCAAACAAAACCTACTTGTGTGGGCTTTTCTCCCACCTCCTGTGGATCTGCAATAATTCCTACCAAGGCAGGTGGTGCAGAGTAAAACCACTGAAATGGTTTAAATCAGGAACAACTTGTCTCTCAGGCATGGCACAGATCTCCAGGGTCATCCCATCACTCCTGGGGAGGGAAAACTCCCTGCTTCAAACTGCTGAGCTTTGCTTGCTTTCACAGGGATGCAGGTGAAAATTCTGTGTGTACAGAGCTAGTAACAGACCAAAGCTCACATCCAAAGTAACCAGTCTGTGGCACCTCAGAAGAGTCACAGCATTTCTTAGCCTTCGCTGATCCCTTGGGAAGATCCAAAGTCAGTCACATGAGCCACTTTGCTCACAAAGGCTCTTTAGCTCTCTGSTTTTGCAATATCTATCACTATCAGATGCATCCCACCTATCAGGCCCTTCTCAATGCAGGAGGTCTRTGTATTGCCTGGACTTTTTCAGTTCTCTCATGTTTTCCTTAGGGAAATCTTGAGGAATATTTTGGTATACTTATATCACTGAGCTTCATACAGGTGTTTCAGAATAAAACTTGGGAACATACTACCAGAGGGACTTAACTGAGTATTCAGTCCCTTGCTGTTGCTGGCAAACTCCATATAATCCCTGACAGGCTSAATAAAGTCTTATTTTGAAAACAATTCAAATGCTATTCCAGAACATGACTGATGGTTAGAAAATCCCAGACTAAATGACTGGTCTGTACTGTTTATTTTTGTGCTAATGTAATACCTTCCTTGAAGCAGCTTTTTCCTTTTGCCACAGGTATTTAGAGAAAATGTCCATCTCCCCTTTCAGCCTACATCTGCTAAGCCAAACAAGCCATGGCACCTTAATTTTCTCACAGAGATAAGCTCTCTATTATCCTGGCATCTCACTAACTCTTCTCTGCACCTGYCCTACTCGAAGCTCACCCCTTCTGCCAGCCAGATGTCCAGAACCAGACACTGGAAACCAGGCAGCCTCTATAGCTACATGATGCAAAGATGACTCTTGGATTTAACCTTCCCAGCTCCTAGCTAGGCTTGCACATGTYGGCAGCAGAGACAAAGGTCAACTGCCTCCTCTAGCCTGCTCTCTACTGCAGAGTCCAAGGACACATTTGAGCTATTTACTATCAAGAAACAGTATTCGTGCAAGGCCAGTGTTTCAATAACCTTTCCAGACTTGGCTCTTTCCTATGTCCAACCACCCAGATGCTGATGCTGGCTGCCAATATCAGACTACAGGACCCATTCCAGCTTCTTTTCAAACMCCAAAGTGCCAGCATACGCTCCCTTGGCTGGGTTTGCAAGGGCCCAGCCATCTGYGTATCTGCAGAGTGTCTCTGGTGTAGATGTAATGGGAAAATATTTAGCCTTTTACATGCAGTTGGCAAATATACTAGCTCAGGCCTGAGGAAATTCTGATTCTCATTGCTTAAGGGCCTCCTTTTTTTAAACATTTTAAAAATATTTGTGAGTCACAGCAGTGGGTAGGGAATGAGAYGTCTAGCAGAGCTCCCATCTCTGCTAGAGGAGCATTACTAAGAGGACACCATTTGGCTTTGTGAACGGAGGAAAGATCAGGAGGTGCTGGGTGACTTAATCTCTCATGTCCCACAGTATGCTYTGAGGGTGCTGTTTTCCTGAAATAGCTAGATTGAAGCTACTAAAGAGGTTTCTGCTGTTAACTGTCTCCTGAAAKTTGTTGACCAAGGGACCAGAACAATTAAATGAAATGTGAAGCACCTCCTCAAACAGATATTTTTTCCTTCTCTGTCCTACATCACCTAATCACACAGTAGTATGAAGTTACACACTTGGGAGAGCTTTTTGTAATAAAGAACATCCTGAACTGCAGGAAGATACTGACCCGACATATATTTCTTCTCTTTTCTTACGTGGACACACACCCTGTGAGTCCTAGGAATGAATGTATGAGCTCTCCCATAAGTATGATAGAGACAAAAAGTCTGGGAWACCAGATTGTACACGCACACTTGAAAAGCAGCTGCTGTATCAGGTATGCAATGTGAGACCCTGGGAATTGTTTTTCTGAATACTAAATGTGGAAAATATCAATTGAAGCTGCACTTAGTCCCTCTGAAGAAATCAGCTTTTGAATGCCTTAGAGTGGGCACTCAAATTAAACAGTTTCATAATAGAGATAAGTAAAATATATTGCTTAAAAATAATCTGGTCTTTTATGTCCTTATTCAGAATCCACCATTACAACCTTAGGTGCAAAAACCATACAAACATGCTTGCAGTAAACCTGTCCTAGAGATGTGCAGCCAGATCTTTGGCTGATGTCACTTGGCAGGCCTTTGCTCAAGTTAATTGGAGCTGTACCAATTCATATTTCTGAACAGAAGGAATGTACCGCTTATAGAGTTCTGAAAAAAGGCAAGTTAAACAGCTTGTGTGCACCTGGAGACATTAATTTCCATGTTTTTCAAAATACAAACCCCAAATTTTCTGTGAGGAGTGGCCCTTCAGAAAATTATCATGCCAGCCCTGTACCAGCACTAGATACAAATATACTCTGGTTTGATTCCCACCATCCCTACTATGTGTGAGTAGAGAAGATACAGCACAAGAAAGACAATTTTTTTTAAGTACTTTTCTTAGAATTTCTTAGAGTCGCTTTAATTTTTACATTTGACAGAGGGCTTCCATTCGTAGTCTACCAAAGGAAAACAAAAAGCAGTAACAAATCCCATTGTGTTACCAACCAGAGGCAAYGATTGCTGGCCTCTACAAACAATACAAAGCCAGAGGGACTTGCTGCTTTCTGTTTTGTAAATATGCTACAAGGAGTGAGCTGCAGCGAGAGCATGGCAACCAATAACTCTTGATCACTTAAAGATTTTTCATTAGCCAATTCTACAATAAATTAACTAGAGAAGTTTAAAGGTTGTTTTCAACAATTTATAAACACACACCGCAAAGATCAAGGGAAGACAGTTCATCTTTCTACTTAACTTTTTTACTTACCATCCGATGAAACTTTAATAAGTACAAAGGCAGGTCAATAGTCCCAGAATTGAATATTGTGCACCTGTGCAACCAAGAAACACATTTCACCAGTAGGAAAACAACTTTTAAAGCACCTCAGACATAAACTTTCTTCAGCTGCTTACCTGCGCAGGTTCTTATTTGTCAGATTCAATGCACCACAAAAGGCTACTGGTGTTTCAAAAGGGATCTGTCACCTTGCCAGACATTTAAGTGGTAGCAAAACCAGCAGAGGCACTTTCAAGTTTGCGCAGAGAATTCTGAAAGTCTCGATTCGGTTCGACTTGAACAGTGCACCCTAGGTCTCATCAGTTACCCAGCATGGGGCTACTCTGCCTGCCCGAAGCATGAGTTATTAGCACTGCCCTGCTCCTTTCACCAAGTGATCCCTGTATCTAACGCGGAAGGAGTCGGTCAGAGGAGAAAGCACCAGTATCCCCCAGTTGCTAGGTAACAAGCAGGGAGATCCTGACCTGAATTCATAGCAGAGGCTGATGTTACTCAGGAAGCTTAGCTGGGTCCTTCCTGGAATAGGAGGGCCATGCCAAAAAGTTACTCCTGTTTTTTTTAAGGCCACTGCGTAGCACCCAGGACAAAGGGACAGCTGCTGAKCTATTTTTATGATAAAAAGGCACCTGTTGTGAAAATAGGAAGCACATAAACGAAAATGGARAGTGAATTTTCTGCTCTCCAAACCAATGAAACCAGAAAGTTATTAACCTTAAAATAAGTTCTATTTCAAATCTGGCCATTAAATAAAGCAGAAGAAACCAACCACCACATGCACAGCCTCAACATGAACAAATGCCACAAGAGAATATTAAGCATATGAAAATTTTAAAAATGTTATCCCATACACATATGCTATGAAGCATAATCAAAAGTCAAACTCAACACAGAAAACTGAAAGGAAGCACATCAGGGAAGTTTATGATGAACAAGAACTCCGCATTTTCTAGACATGCATATATTTTAAGTTATTGCCATGCCATTATTAATTACTCTATTTAGCTTGCTGATTCCTCAGGATGCATTTTCTAAAAGATTAAAAGTAAGAGCTGAGCCAGACCTGAAGAGCTAAARTACCTCTGCATCCCTCAGATGGGGTATATCCAACACTATCATCCGTATAGCAAAAGGAAATAATGCCTCCTCATATGCAGCATAACATGAATGTCAAAAACCCAATTATCTGGAAAAGATGCCTGTTTGCTTTCTACTGGCTCCAAGGAACATCTTGGGAAAATGGCATGAAAGCAATGCTGTGCACACCACGTGTGGCATGGTTCCCACAGGCTGGAGAGGCTCACGAGGCCAGGAGGGCTGAGAGGTATCGGGGCAGAAGCAGATCCTTTCATTCCAGCCAGCTGCTTCCCCTTCACATCTGAGCACATTCTCACATGTGAGCAGCTCCCTCCCTGCTCAAGTAGATTCTGCCAGTCCCAGACAGGAATATCTGTGAGGACTCCAGCTCAGCCAGGCCAGCAGCTCCCATATCTCTGCATGAGAGGTTTGCAGCAGGCATATCTACCACCCAACCACCATGCAGGCAACAGCTCATTTAAAKAAGGCTTTCAGGGACAGGACAACTGGCCTGTCATGTCTAGAGAAGTCCAGCTATGACCTTAAAAGGGAATTACTCCACAACAGCCTTTTATCTGGTAGAAACAAAGCAATGCTTTACTGGAAGGGAAAGGCACACAAGTGTCTTTGCAGAATATCAGCCCAGCTCAGCTGTGYAATGGCACACCTGATGCTTACTGCTAATGCATGTAGTGTATCTGAAAAAGGCTCTCCTTTCAATGTAGCGAGGTTCAGAGGCCCAATAAATCTGTGTTCAGCACAGGATCAAGGTCAGTAAGCAGTCTCTTAGCCACGCTTGAGATCTCTCCCTCCCCATAAAYGTCCCTATTTATCCAGGGAATCAGTCTATCACTGCAGCAATTATAACTGCCCAAAACCACATGAGCATACGGTGCTTCAAGTACCCTTCTCAACAAGAGCCAAAGCTCATCATATTGATAGGAAAATTACAGTTCTTTTTTTCATTTCCCTTTCTCATTTTWTTTCAGGAACAGGAAAAGCTCAGAGTTAAGTCCCATCCCATAAACACTTAAATTTCCAGATAAAACAGTTACGGATGTCACGATCTGAATTCAGCAGGCTAAATTAATCCAGGTTTTAAATAGAATAAAAATATAAAAACCCTATARATAACCAGTAGACGTTTGGAGGAAACATACTGAAAATTTAAGGTATTAAATATATAGTCACCTTCTGCTAAAGAAAATCTGATCATGTAACAACACAGCACAAACCAAATCACAGCTCTGTGCAGTGCATCTGATTTTTAAGCAGTGCAGATAGTCTGAAACAATTTTCTGATGAAAGGCCATCTTACAGATACCATCACCAGGAGGCAAAACAGYGCAGAGAATCTATTCATAGAAATATTTGTGTTTTAGATAGCTCTAGACTAATTTTTTTACTTTAGATTCAGCTTTGCAAACCAAGTGAAATGGATGGCACTTCAGTGCATCTTTTCCTACAAATTCTTCCAAATGTCTTAATGTTCAGCCATGCAACAAGCTGCATTAAATAGCAGATATTAGAAATAACTGAGAAAGCTTTGGCAAGATGAAAGGTGTGGCAAATATAAGCTTCTACTAGTAAGGCACTTAACAGAGACAAAGAAAAATTAAAAGACACAAGTGGGGTAGATTTGAGAAGAAATGGAGAATTGGTGGGCCCACAAGAGAGAGGAAGAAGGAAATCCTTTCATGATCCATATAAAAGTTAGGAAAAATATGTGGATGGGAACAATGCCGTCTGAAATGCTACTCCTGGGGAGACAAGAGACTGGACACCTCTRTTTTAACATTTCCTCCAGTCATGTCTTAAAGAGCAAGAACAGGTAAGTAGCAAAATGGATCTATGTGGGGTACAGAAAACCTACTCCATAGTGTTGAAAACAACCTGTCACATCTTCCTAACGTCTAAACTGGCGTAACTCCACCAGCTTCAGCTATGCCAGTGTAAGACTTGGTCCAATGCAATAAGAAGAAGGTAGCAGTTCCTCTTACATGTTTCACTTTGCCTGCAGGCAGATTTCAGCAGAGCACCTGTCTATTCCAGGGGAAGACATTAAATGAAGGATTTAATCTTCCTGATGAATACAGAAGGATGCCAAAGTACCAAACTTGTCAAACACGCCTTGCAACAAAACACACACTGTTAAAAATTTGCTTTACTTGGCTATAAATTTGTAAAGCCATGTAAAACAGACAGCTCCAAATCGCTTGACTTCAATCACTGAAAGTCAAACACTGCTGTCCAAATCTCTTTGCAAAGGTGTAGTATTTCAGTAATTGAGATGGTCCACAATCCGCTCTCATCTCCGTGCATATCAGTAACACAGTGCCGAGAAGTGTCCCGGTTGTTCAGCCGCAGAAGGAGCTGCGTGAAGCACTGATTCATGCTGATGAATTGTAACCAAGCAACACTGCCAGCATCTCTCCAGCCCATTGTTCAACTGAGCTGGGGAGAATAGCAGCAGAACAGCACTGAAAACCTGCCAAACTCTGACTTCAATTAAAGGATACCATCCCTCTAACACTAGGTATAGTAAATTCTTTAACCAAAATTCAGCAGAAATAAACTGTTACTTTCCTCTCAGTAAAAAGATATTGACACGTCTGAAGATAGCAAATTAATTTCTGTGTGCCCAGGACCTCTTGTAAATCATCTCTACAAAGAAAAAGTTGAAATTTACACAAAAAATGCAGGGCAATGAATTATTCATCTGAGCAGGACAGAAATACTGCCTTTTATTTAGTCTGGCTATTAGATGCTGAGGGAAACTAAAGAAAACTTTCTCARATACAGTAACTGACCAGTAACAACACAGATAAGATGGAAAGGAAGTAGACATTTGGAAATTTTGTTCAGTGAGAACTGGCAACCTTTTCCCATGTAAATATCTGAAATCAACAGTTAATGCACAAAATACTGCTACCACGTCACCATTCATGTGAACCTTATAATCAACAGAGGCAATAAAAAATTAGGTTATCATACAGAAATCTTTTTCTTTCATTGCAGTTAAGTCTGAGTGGTGGGATCATTTGTTCTATTAAGTGCCCTGGGTCTTGATATCAAGAACAAAATTCACTGCAAAATTATCCATTGTTGCCCTTTATGGAAACAACAAGACTATACAGTCTGGCAGCAAAACTGTTGGTTACTAGATGTTTTTGTGATCAACAGTATCCCCATTTCACCAGGAAAAAAGAAGTATAAATTAAGAATAAGATACAGAATTGACTTGTTTTTATAACATAAAAGACTGGCTAGCAGCTGTAGGCATTGCTCATAAAAACCAAAAGCACTGACCTGTAAAACAGAAATAGTAATAACATCTGCTAGACTTCTGGGCTCTSAAATCACATTCCCTGAGAGCAAGTTTCCAAAAGAAAGGCTGGGCACTTATGTAAGATACCAATTCCCTTTTCAGTGGATTGTGCTTCTCTTTTTAAATTTTACTTTAAAGCCTGCAAAACCACAAACATCTTTCTTCTCCAGGAATTATTGTGGTAGGGCAAACTAACAAAATGCCATGGCATTGGCATAAAAATAGATTTATTAATGTCTTTCAGAATCTGTGATATCACAGAATCATGGGATGGCTTGGGTTAGAAAGGACCCTAAAAATCATCCTGTTCCAACCCCCCTGCCATGGGGAGGGTCACCTTCCATGAGACCAGGCTGATCAAAACCCCATCCAACCTGGCTTTGATTGGGTATCCATCCACAACTTATATTAGAACGTCCTCTTTGCATACTTCCATGCTCTTTTTTCTAGTCTTTCTCCACAAACCAAGTTCCTGGGTGTGGTCTTCCCAATCCCATCATGGGGGATCAAGCAGCCCTGTATTCACTATTCTGTCTGGAGTATCACCAGGATCTCACACAGGCAGGAATGCTGCTGCTTAGGCTCTGTCTGCTTGATAGTTTCGACTCCTTCTTGTAAGTTCTCAACACT